TGTCCAACTTCTGCATCCTTCCTCACTCTATTATATTGTCTCTGTTCAACTGGAGCCTGAAAGCAGAATGTTTCCCCCTTTTTTATTGCATTATAAACATTTTTGCTGACAAGCAGCTAATAGTTTATAAGTAAATAAATAGGTATAATTTTGGTGACACATTATTGAGACCTTTACATGGCTGGATACTGTTGAGCTGACATTAATACAAAAGTATTATGGAAATATACAAAGTATGAAAGGACCAGCTGATGTAAAGCTACAAGATTCTATAGATCAGACCTCCTGTTTTTCCTTCTATGGACCATGTCAAAAGATGTGAATATCTAAATCAAGAAAAATTACAAAGAAGCAAAGAGGTATCAAATATTCTATTCCAAATAGCTCTACTCAAGCAGGTTATTGCTGGAAGACAAAGAATTTGTAAGTAAAAAAAACATATTGTATGACTCATTCACATGTACTGGAAAGAAAGTTTCAATACAATATTTATGTAAGTTGAGTAAATAGATATGAACTTCTATTGCCTTGGTATATACATCTGGTAATGCTGGGGAGAGAAATTCTCCTACTTTTCCCTCCTATCAATTCTCATTCAATCTGAGGAGAGAGAGTTTGTTTTACAAATTTTTTCAAAGAAGAAGATAATTTTGGAGAAAATGGAATGAATGGACCATTTTATTTATTTTATTTATTTATTAAATTTGTTTGCTGCCCATCTTGCTGCAAGGCGACTCTAGGTGGCTTACAATATACCATAAGTATTACCATAGTGTTCTTACATTTATTTACTTACAAAATCACCAAAATATGTGAATAAACATTCTACCTTTTGTTCTACAATAATCTTTTCAGCAGTACGCAGTTTTCTGACTTTCCATGATTCCCTTAAATTCCATGTGAAAGCATTATGAGAGTATGTCTCACATTGACTGTCCTGTCATTGTCATTGTTAAAAAAAAGGATTTCTGTTATCAAGTTGGGGATTTCTCTTTCTTTTGGAGAAAATCTGGAAAATGATCCACCCAATTTTTGGCCCACAAATATTGGTGAGAAATTTCAACAATCTTTGTACCACACAATGATCAATCGCTTCAAAATCAGGTTGTACTCCTTCATCCAGAACAACACATGCTATCACATAAAGCATCTGGAGCAAAGGATAAGTAAGCTTGATTTCTCAGTTTATTCATCCAGAAAGTTTATACATTTATAGGCAGCTTAGATTCTTTGCTGAGTAACTGAAATTTATATAAGGCAGGGGTAAACTATTTACATTCTCAGGATTCCATTAAAGCATTCAGATCCAAATTGAGCCTTAAAATAAGACTTAAAATAACTACTGCATTTCTTATATTCTGGGCTAATTACTTCTTAATGATGGTGGTATTTTCAGTGTCAATCTTGACACTTAAGTTCATCAAAAAGAACAAAAAAAATTGAAATATCCCATCCCCCAGTGCTACCAAATTGTCACTAGACATGTTCTATGCAATCCCCTGGCAAGGTAGAACATCTAGTGCTGCCCATCCTTGATCTGAGGGATAATTGCAAATTATTCAAAATACAGCCAGCTAAGAATTTAATTTTAAATTATGCCTAGCAGATACTGAAAAAAATGTAAGTCTAATTTTAGCTATTTCACCATGACCTAAATTTTGATAAAATTCTAGCTGGCTTAAATAGCCATTGCAAAACACTGAATTTAATCCTACCCATGAAATCCATTGGAAAGAATCACCAGAGTGCTCCAGCAAACTTTAATTATATAACAGGTTTTAACCAGTTCTCCTTTATGAGGGAAAGATTTGCAATGCTACATTTCAAAGGAACTCAAAATAAAAACAACTGTATTATAATCAGCAAAATGACGTGGCATGAGGTTTGTTTATTTACATTCTATACTATCTTATCTTTATTAGTTTTCTTTTATATCAGTCTCTGCTCAAAAGTTCAACAGTCTTCAGAACATCAGACTGAGTCTTGAAATGTTTGCAGTCAATAATATAGCCCAGCTCACTGTCGACAAAAGGATTTCCCCTTTTAGTAGAACAAGATGTTTGTAATTAACCATAGGAACAGCTAATCACCTTGTTTCATTGATTTTACATCAAAGAAAGTGGGAAACTACAATGGCATTTTATAAATCATCTATTGCAACAAAACAACAAATGCTGGCCTGTAACTATATTTGTAATATGTAACTGGCTGATGATGTCAGGTGAAAAATTAGCATAATCCACCCCTGAACACTAATAGTACAATGTTTTTGTCCTGACTAGAAAATCAGCACAGTATGAATGGCCATTTATACTTTACAAATGATTGCTAAATCTAGATGTAAGGCACTTGTACGATGAATTGGGTAATCACAATTGTAGGGGAAGAGATGGCTGAACCTGGGAGAGTAGTGAAAAGGGAGATCAGCCTAGAATCCCTACAGCACGGTCCCCAATTCCAGTCTGTGGCATGCCAGAAACTGGGCCGTGCAAACAAGCAAAGCCCCATCTGCAGGATGCAGGCAACACATGAAACCACGCCCCCTCCGGTCCCCTCTCCACAAAATCAGTCCCCCCCAAAAGGTTAGGGACCGCTGCCCTACAAAGCCACAAGAGAACTAAGTTCACCCTCCTTGTGTGTTGTTGACCCTTATCTAATTGTAAGCAGGTACCAACTTTTAGTTAAGATTTCTGTGCATACTGTAGGCTTTTAGCAATAAATTAATTGAAACTTCATCTGTGGACCTGGTTTTTCATGCCTAACACAGTACAGTCTTTATTTACACATCACATATGATCTTTCAATAATAAGTGATCTGGAATCAATTTATTTGCTTTTTCCCTTGGATATCTTTCCAGTTTAAGTGCAAACCTGGACTAAGACTTTAACAGCTAATCTTCTTTTGTATGTATCAAACATTTTAATGATATGAAAAATATTAGTCTCCAGTTTCCCTTACTCCAGTGAATTCCAGTCACATGAGAGAGAAAAAAGTGTGCTGCCCCCACCTCCTGTCATATTATCAATAAGAAGTTTCTGTATCCCTTCATATGATTTGACTGAGGCTCTGCATGAGACAGTCTGCTATAAAAATGAATGATGAAGCTTGGAATGATGTAGAATCCTGATCACCCAAATGCCTTAAGTTCAGTGAGAGAAATATATCAGCCTTTCTTCTGTAGGTCTTTGCTGCTAAATCTGTGCAGCTGACTGCTGTTTTCCTTCTTTCTTCTACGTGGTAGGAAAATAGAATACCCAAATAACAAGTTAAAGATACTAGTATTACATAGGAAGTGACCAAAGAAATACAAGGTTCATATATCTTGTATAAGAAAAGAAAATTTGAAAAAGTGCATTTTTCCTTTTCCTTATAAGATGTCATTTATAGCAGTTATGGGCAAACTAGTCAATTGCAAATAATCCAACAATCTGAAAAGTTGTCCTTCCTTTTCACATGACATATCTATGTATTTGCCACGTCAAATCCAAACAATAAACTGTAGACAGTAGTATCCTGCATAGTGGGAATGCAAAACGACTTAAGCAAGTAAGCAAAAAACAAAGACAAACCAAAACCAGAACTAATCCTGGAACATCACAACCACCATCCTCCAAGTCATTAGCTACTTTGACGTGGTGGAAAATTCCTCCCTGACCCCAAATATGGCAATCAATAATGTTCTAAGCAAAACTCATTCACCAACTTTTTCCAAAGGAAGATTTACTTGTGTATGATTTTATGCCATTTAATTGCCTCTAGCTATGGAAACGCTTGATGCCTTAAAATAAAAAGCTAACTTTATTTCAGATTTCTCAGTAAATTAGCATTTAAGTATTTTCCACTAAAACCAATAGCATCTACGTTTAGACTGCCCAAACATCATCTCAATATACAGGTCATTAAATTTGCCCCAGATCTGATAAATATATTAGAGTCAATTTCATTATTTTTATGATACATAAAAATGTGAATACACGTAGTAGAGAAACCTAGGTTAACTATTGAATTGTATCAAGCTAAATGGATCAATGTCCACTTTATTCTATCCTGTGACTGGTCACCCTACTTTCAGAGTTCCAATCACATGCAGAGAACCTAAATACATATATATCAGCAAGGTGACTTTATTTCTGGAATGTATAGATTTTAAATTTAATTGCATTGATTCTGATGACTTATATCATGTTTCTACACAGATTAGGGAGAAGGAAGGAAGGAAGGAAGGAAGGAAGGAAGGAAGGAAGGAAGGAAGGAAGGAAGGAAGGAAGGAAGGAAGGAAGGAAGTCTTAATTACAGTACCTAGGACCATATAGACGTCAGGGAGGACCCTAGAATAGTGAGCTGTTTCAGAGGATGTGCTACCAACCACTTTTCTTACAAACTGATTCATCTTATAGTAGAGTAAGGCAGGTAATGTTGTCATAAATCACAATGGTGCTTTGAAGGGAAGAGAATAAACTGAAGCTCTCAGACTTGTTTCATGCTGCCCATACTTAACTTTACAAGCCTATGCAAGAAATCCATTTAGCTTTCTCACAGAATGGGCTTCTCTTTCTCCAATGTTTTCTGGAGATGGAAAGATAAAAGCAAGAAAAAAGAAGAACAAAGAGAGAAGTAGCAAAAAGTGAGAAAGAAGAATTAATGTTTCCATTCACTTCTGCGTCTAGTGCCACCTGCAACTGCCACTGAGACATGACTGCAAACCAAATGTGCTCTTTAACATAGAAAAGAAAAGAAAAAATATTCCTGGTTTAAGAAATAATTATCCCAACCCAAACATACAGAGTCATACTGTTTGAGTTGGGTGGCTTTATAAATCTTAAATATAGATAAATAAATAGGTAAAATATGTTGTAGCACCACTTGCTCTTTGGGTGAGCTGGAAAATATCTATTATTTATTCCCCTTTCCCATAATCACTTGCAGTTTCCCACAGAAATGGAAAGGTTCTGCTTGAGACTCAAATACTTCACTCATTAATACATTTTCTTTCCAGTAGATTAAGAACAGAAGAATGAAATAACAGTTAACCAGTTTTAACATATAATGGATTCCATGAGATTGGAGAATTCATTTTACAGTAAGTTTTTCATCATGCAAAAATGCCTATAATGCATATTTTGTCACTCTCTCCGTGTGTGACACATACATACACATACACCTATACATATACATACCCATGCCTGTAACACATATATATATAAATGATCCCAAGATGTTTTTAATTGTCTGAATTTTTAAAGAAATGTGCTTTGAAAAAATGTTTGAGAATTTGTAAAATAGTTAAATTTCTGTTGTTTATGTCTCAGTACCTTGGCAGAGTCTGATTCATGATTTAGTTTTCGGCTAATAACCAGAGGCTACTGACTATCTGCATTAGCTAAACATCACTCAACTGAGGCAGTAAAATTGAAGAAAGTGTATTATCTGTAAAATCAGGCAAAGAAAAAAAAGTTTGCTGCCGCTCTTGGTTGATGATTGTTACATTGCCTAGTTTCTTTGCTTGAACAACTTTAAAACGTCTGTTTGAACCTGTCTGAACCAAGCTTGACTGTACAGCATGAACCTTGGACATTTCTGGGTACATCTAGGCCAAAATTTAAAATCTGTACAGGCTTCAAATATGAGTTTCTTATCTCTTTCTAGGTTATTCCAAGACAAACACTGATGCATTGTTCTATTGGTCTGCTTTGGGCTGCATTTTGGTTACCAATAAACATTAAACCAATATTGTAAATGATTTGAATTACAAATCATGCTCTTTTATCATTGGTTAGCTACAATCCACTGGAGGGATGGAATGGATGAGACTTCAACAACACTTGGAGATCCTGTGTTTGGAAAAACTAAGGGATATGAGCAGCTTGGCAGATTCACATGCACGGGGGGGGGGGGAGAGAGAGAGAGAGAGAGAGAGAGAGAGAGAGAGAGAGAGAGAGAGAGAGCATTATTTGTTCAATAATGCTACAAGATGCCTTGCCTGAAAGGTAGAGAATAAAATGAGTATGCAGAATTAGAATTAAAAATTTAAGTTGTAGAACTCTGGACTTTTAGAACTTCAAAATGCAATGTTGCTGTTAGGATTATCTTGGATGCTTCCCAAAAAGAAATGTTATATGCCTGTAGAATGTTAACACATCAGGGAGACCTGGACTACATTTTTTTCATAATGTGCTATCCTATTAAGTGAATGGATATTTTCAAAATGTGGCAAATAAACAAAAAGTCATTGCTTACCCTTTGCCTCATAAATGGCTAACTTAAGAATTCTGAGACCAAAATACTTATATTGTCCTCTACAATATGTAATGGTTCTTAAAATTTTCAAGGCACATCAATACATGGTGAATGGATAGAATTAACTCACAATGTGCACGACTGGGATGTCATGACATCATCTGTGCTTCCAGAAGTGCTGTGACCAGAGCAGCCATGTGATAATCTGAGGTCACATGGTTTGGAAACGCTTACAGGAATACGCAGTATTCTCAAATGTTATTTCCCCAGTTTGTTACAGTAGATGGCTCAAATCACCAACTCATTTGAAATTAAGTCAAAAGTTAATCCCAATGGAATGGAAAAAAGATAATTAATAATAGTTAAATATGATATATATTTTAAAAGGGGATGTAAATCCATGTCTCATATTCAATATTTTACATTCTTAATCTAGAATAAAATGAAAAATACTAATTTGCCTCTAAATTGGTTTAAGCATAGGTTTTACACAATAAATAACTCAAACGTTTTAAAAAGTTGAAATGCATAAAGGGCATTTACAAGTTAGATTTCATCTTTCATAAGCATGAAATTAAGATACCCACATTTTCCATGTAAAATTTTGTCCTCGTTAGAGTTAGCACAGAAATCTTGCAGAAATTTTCTTTATTCATCTAAGGAATAATGTTTCTGATCAAGTTAAGAAATTCACCCATTAAAGCTTATTTAAGAAAATAAAATAAGTGCACATGAAAAAATGAGATATCTCTTCACACTTCAGTGTCACATTACATTTTTGTATTTGGCACCACTTTCCAGAGACATCTCCATGATCAGTAACATGTTATCATTAAGGAATATGTTAGTTTTTTTAAAAAAAAAAACCCTCTACATATCTTTACTATTCTTTCATAACCTGAACCTCATCAGCACTCAGCAGGCTTTCCTTTCCAGGATTGTTTATGTAAACTTCAAAAGATTTTTTAAAAATCCTTTGTTAAAGCCAGTCTTAATATAACAGTTTTGCATTTCTATGCAAATTGTTTTCACTATCACTAAAGAATTTTGCATTTCTCTTCATAATGATCTCTTACCTGTAAAAGAGCAAGGTTCAAATTCCTTTCATGATTTTACTTTCATGACAATCCTACAGTCCTTCATTCAAAGTGGATCTATCCTTCAGGTAAAGTATGTATGAAGACTTTAGAAAGCCCTCCTTTTTCTCCTTTACCCACCCTAACTCTCTTTGCATTCACTGTCAGTCAAAAACAAGTTGGTAAGAATCAGATTTAGAATTACCTGAATGAGGAAATCAGTGGGAGGGGAGGAATTTGAGAGGAGACTTTGTGATGTCAGCAGTATGTCTTAAGGAAACCTACTGCAAAGACCAGGAAACGATATAATGCCTTTAAAATTCAACACCCTTCTATGAGTTTAGCAAATACCTGCTTCAGAATAAACTGATGTACTTTTAGAGGATATCTGTTAATCTTTGAAGAAATTTGATCAAAGTCCTTTCAAGGATTTTATTGTCCAAATAAACAGGGAAAAATGCTTAAAATAATTCTTAACATTTCTCTTGAGAAAGACAGAATAATAATGAATAGTGAGTATCTTTTTCCTTTAAAGAAGGGTAAGTTGATTCTGAAACAAGTCATATTGAAAATCATGGAGTAATGAAGTAATCTTATTATAATCATGTAGAGCAGCTGATATGCTGAGATACCAGTGGCTTTCAGCTGATTACTGGCACTATTGTTTCCAGCTCATTTCTCGGGTCTGGCATTTCCTTTGTTATTTACAAGACATCAGAATTAAACTTTGGAAAAAAGTACAGAGGGGAAAAAAAGTCATATTTTGCCTCACCTAATGGTTCCAGTAAATGTTACGCACTTTGGGTTTTGAGAGGTTTTCCAGAAATATATCAGTATAAAGCAAAATGGGAAGCACATATTGCTCAAAATCATCTAATTGGGAAACTAGTCAGTAATGCATTTCCTCTCTCATTAATTCTGTATTAAATTGCTTTCTGTTTATACACTATGCTGTTTTTCAGCCTTAAGGCTTAACAAGGAGAAAAATAAATTGAGAAAGGATATATTACAAGCATGATCAATAAGGGCAAACTTTGGAAGCTAATCAAAATAAATAGAATTTAACAGCCTTCCCCAAACTGGTGCCCTTCTGTATGTTTAAGACAACTGATGTATACGACAACAACTCCTACAACACACAGGTGGTTCTCAATATATGACCATAACTGGGACCAAAATTTCCATTGCTAAGTGAAGCATTTGGTATGTCAGTCACGTCTCATTTTATAATCTTTTTTTGCTGCAAATCACATGGTTTCATCTTTCATAAGCATGAACTTAGAAAATCCAGCTTCCCCATTGACTTTGCTTGTCAGAAGCCAGTTGGGAAGATCGCCAGTGGCAATCAGATGACCCCGGGATGCTGCAACCGTCGTAAATACATGCCAGTTACCAAGCACCAGAATTTTGATCACATGACCATGGGGATACTGCAACAGTCTTAAGTGCGAGGATTGACTATAAGTTCCTTTTTAAAGCATCTTTGTAACTTCAAGCGGTCACTAGTGACCCTAAGGTGAGGACTACTTCCATGCTGGTTTCCCAACTGCATGCTATTTAGACTGGTAATAATAATAATAATTTACTGTATGTAGTACCAAGGATTCAGGGAGGTAAGAAAAATCTATGCAAAGAAAACAAATGCCAGGAAAACATCATTTCTTTCCAGGACTGTATCAGCAAAGAGACATGAATAATATCATTAGTATGCATCCATAGGAACCTGGCGGTCTGGAGCACTGCTGTTTTTATGGTGAAATATACTGATTGTGCCAAAATAAGCAGCTGCCTTAAATTTATAAAGACATAAGCATATTGTGACTCCCTCCCCTGCCACACCACTTGCTTTGTCAGACTCAGAAATATTGATACCATTCACACATGTTCCTCATCCATCCTCTGAAAAGGGTTGGGGACTGGATTTAGTCTTTGTAAGAGCAAGAGGTTGACAATGTAAACCATTCTTTAAAATGGTACAACAAACACAAGCCAGGGTTTTCTACACTACTGTTTCAAGATTCTACAGTGTATCTGTGACAAATCAATTTTAATGTATAATAATGAAAAAAGTAAGAGAATATTCTGAATATTTAAAATTGATTATTTAAACAAAGGAAGAAATTACTTTGGAAAAAGACACAGATGGAATAAGTTATTTGAGCAGAAAGAAGGGCTTCATATGGGTTATAGGAACTGTAAAATTCCCCAAGGATTGATGGGGTTTGATCTGTATATGATTGATTTGTCCTCTACACGAGAAATCTGGATAATAGGTTCTGGATCCAATTTGGCAATTAGAACATTCATAACCAGTTACAAGATAAAGAAAAATCTATAAGGGTAAAAAAAAAGATGCCTTAAAAGAAACACTTAAATACGTATGTTTATCCCTGATATGAAGAATTGGTGTATGGGGTTGAGGTAGCACAGTTATAAGTAAAGATATTTACAATTATTATTGCATTTGTTACAATCAGCACTATCTGGAATTTTGATTCCAGATTAATGTCCTCCATGCAGTGATGTGTACTTATTTTTCCTATCTAACATCAAGCTTACTAATGGCAGCTATCAATGTAGCACGGTGGAGACATCAGCTCATGGAATACAAAAGTAAAAAAGCACCCCATCTTCTCAAATGCTGCACTGTGATAACTTGAAGCTAAAATTGGGACAAGCTATCCACTTGCTCACCAGCATCACTGGTTCAACAGAAAAAAATTCTGTGAAGCTCCACTGGATTCCAGTTACAGTTACATGTTTATGTCTAATTTCAGATCCTGGCAATACTGCATAAAGGTTTTATGTCTTGGGCCCTTGTTATCTTCAGGGCCATCTTCTTCAATATAATCTGCCCAGCCAACACGACATAGTTGGAAGTCAATGCTGCAGATGCCCATTTCCAGAGAGATCAGGCCGAATGGACAAGAACATTCTCAGTTCTCCTCCTGCATTTGGAATTCCCAAAGTTATTTTTTAGACTTCTTCCTTAGGTCATTCAGGGATTAATAGTTTAATTTAAGAAATCAATATTTATTGTTGATTTTAATATATACATGCTGCAGGCTACCTAGAATAGATACCATATAAATATATACTGTAATAATGTAATGTATATGTTCATAAAATAAACTTAGCCAAATGTACATTTGGTTGATCTTTCATAGCTCGATTTTTTTTTTAGTTCAGGTTTTTGGTGTGCTTTTATATGATATACATATAACTATATATATCGTATAATTAGATATAATATGTAGATATAGATATATAGATATGCATATACATATCATACTAGAAAACTGGAATCTATAAATAACACCTAAAATAAAAGGGAAATTTAGCTCTAATGTGCAAAACAAAGAATAAGACAGACAAATATAGAAGTCTGCCAAGAAATTCACTGTTTATAGTAAACACCTTCTTCTAACAATCTTGAAAAAAATATTTATGGATGTTGATAGATGTACAATACTGAAATCAAAGTGTGTTTATATGTATGTGTATTCTCAGTAACTAACCTTGCAAAAATTACAAATAAAATACGCAGACAAAAAAACATCATTTCAGTAACATCTCACATGATTGGGCAGTGAAAATAAAGGACAGCTTCAATGGAATTAATTCAATAAACAGAGTATTCAGAGAAGCCTGGAGTAAAATTTGGACATCATTAAAGAAAATGCAAAAAAAAACCCATTTCCAGAGGCAAAAAGCAAATGAAGGCAAAATGGCTGTCTACTGACATGTTGGTAATAGGAGAAGAAAGACAGAAAAGATACAGCAACAGAGACAGAGAAGAACGTGCCTAACTCAATACTAAATTCTAGAGTAAAACATCTAAATAAGTGATTCAAAGAAGTTAAGGAAGACACTAAATGGGAAACATCAAATATTTATTTAAGAAAATTACAGAAGCATGAAAAATAAATTACATAATAAAAACAAAATAAAGTAAATATCATCTAAGAAAAAAATGTATAAAGAGACAGCATGGTAGAAGGACTGCATAAAAATGATCCCCAAACTGAAGATACATACAAAGATTGGTCACTGGATTAGAATTAGACATTCTAAAAAGTGGCATTAAATTAATTCTAGGAAATTTTATTAATAACAAAACTGCAAAACTTAATGAAGTACTGGCAGAACTGCTTAAATTCACAAAAGATTATGCTCTTAAAATGCTTAATGTTTTTGTAAGCAGATAAGGAAAACTGAGCATTGACCAAGGGACTCGAAGTAATCAATTTATATTCCAGTATCCCCAGGGGGAAAAGGCAATGCAAAGAATATCCAGATTATCAAATAACTGACTTAGTTCATTTTCTAGTAAGATAATTGCTCAAATGTTGCAGTTCAGACTTCATTAATACATAGAATGAAACTCCTAGTTATGAGATTCAGAAGAGGCAGGAGCACCCAAGATCACATTGCTAATAACTGATGAGTATTTTAAAAGGTAAGGGAGTTCCAGAAAGATGTCTTATTTTGGTCTATTTATTATAAATCCTTTTAAAAAAAATATACATTATTGGCTGGACAACTCTGAAATCAGAATAAATCCCTTCTGAAAACAAGAACTGAGATTTTTTATTCACTTAGCAAAAACAAGTCCTAGGACTGTCTGCAGTTCAAATCTTCTTGAGAAACATGTTTTAATGCATACATTTATTTTCCTATAATATTGTAATTTGAGCATACCCCTCAGCAAAGATAAGAGTATCATTCTATTATCCCCTTTAGTTTACTACAGTAAACAAGGCATTCTTATCGGCAAAGCCTTTGTAGACCAATTAAAATGGCCTTTGCTCTAGCTTCTGTCTTTATCATCATCAACTAGGGAAGGAGAAGCAGAAAGATTATCATTCCTTCTAAAAATGAACTTAGATGGTTAAGAACCTATCTCAAACTGGAGATTAAAATTAAGTTATGATTTCTGCATACTTCGGGCGGGGGCTCACTATATGTTTCAGTTATACATTAAAAGAAAGCATTTCTTTAAAAAAAACCTGAAAGGGGTCTGTGAAGTTGGTGATGCTTGAACTTGAAGAGAAAACACCTATGAAAAAGCCCTTCCACAGTAGATTTTGTGGAGCCTCTTTTCTGTAAATGAAATTCTACTTCAATACTCACTAAATTCTGCATATTGATCCAACTCATTGCCTTTTTTTAATGATGTTTATAAACTTCTTTCCATCTGAATTCCCTCCTGGATATTTGCTTTCTAGATTACTATTATTCACAGAGCGACACTCTAGTGTTATCTATCAGCTATTTTTTCAGGGTTAATCCAACTGTTTCTACCTGTAATGCAGATCAGTAGTGCCTAGAATTGTATTATTTTATCTTTTAGCAAAAGTTGAAATGAGGGCATAACTTGTGTGGCTAAAGATTCATTTCCAACCTCAAAGTCTAACGTAGGTAATATTAATCAATAAATATGATTCTTTCTGGAAATTTCAAATTGACAAAAATAATATATATATATATATATCCTTGATATACAATCAAAATATATAATTTTCATGATGGACTTTTATGTTTCTTTTATGTTTAATTTTTACTGGCAGGCAAGAACCCGCAAAGTAATTCCTGTCATTACAAAGTTTCTCTTTGCATCTTGTAAAACTCATACATTGTTGACAGCAAAACAGTGCAGGCATGATTGTATCTTTTTTACCTTGTACGACTTATTTTATTTTATAACCATATTCTGTAGGTTTTATTTAGTAAGTCTTATTTAGTCTGAGTTGCTTACCTATAATAAAATTTTTTGATTTGATTTAATCTGATCTTTTTTAAACTGTATTGCATCAATGTTCACTATTATTAGTGTTGTCCAGCAGCTTGTACAAGACAAGAGAAAGAAACTGGAAATGAACAAACAATTGCAGGAATTAATTGCTAAATTAAATTGAAAAGAAATGGAACATAGGGCTAAATAAAACAAAAGTAAAAAAATCTACTACAGGTTATTGCTGCCAATATCTTAATGTTTGAAGTAAAAAAAGGCAGTATTTAATCATTATTTAATTACTGAGAAGACTTATACTAGTGTGAAATTAGCACACAGAAAAACAAGGAAAGCTGGATGTATCATAATGTATCCCAACTTCTTTAGTCTAATTTACTATGAGTGAAAATATCCTCACATTATTTAAAAACTCTAACCACAAAGGAGTCCTAATCATTCTAGTTCTAAGCAATGGCAAACATAAGTCTCCTAGGTAGGGGAGGGGGTAGGAAGAGAAGACTGTCTTGCATTTATGTTTTTTATATTCATTTTATTTCACACCTGCTTAGGAAACATGGAATATGCTGATACTTCTCCATCTTCCAGTTCTCTTGTATTGATTCTTATTATCCTCCTCCAAATAATCCCAAACAGGGACATCTTGTATAGTGATAGCTCCATCTCTTTACATTATTTGTCTCTTTTCAGAAACCCATGCATTTGTGTTAAAACAATGGAAATGAGCTGCTTGAATGATCTTGAAAGATTTTTCAGATCTAAAGAAATCAATTACTCATTTTTAAAAAGTTCCCGTTCTTAACTTCCTTCTGTGAGCAGAGAATTATATATAATGTACCCTATGTATACCTCTCTCACACATGAGAGAGAGAGAGAGAGAGAGAGAGAGAGAGAGAGAGAGAGAGAGAGAGAAGAGCTGAATGCAGAAGTAATATTAGAGATCAAGCAAATTCAGAAACACGTGGCTGCCAATTGTTTTTATAACTCTGTTTCTAAGAGAATGGAAAATGTTGACCTTAAGGGCATACAATATTTGATCAAAACATTTCAGGAAGCCAAGTTTCTGGTTCTGATTATTGCCAGACATGCTCTTTTGGGGGGGGGGAGGAGGAGGAAATTCTGCCCATTTCTTATTAATCCCTGGAATGAAAGTGTTGAATATAAGAAGAGGAAACTCATGTACAAATGAGCAAATTTCAGAACAAATGAAAACTTGAAGTTAATGTTTAGAAGTAAAGAAAAGTTGACAGGTAATGAAATGCCTTTTCCTGTATTACTTTTCAATCTCTAATTAAATGTCATTATTATGTTAAAAATATAGAAAGCAATATACATTTTGAACATGACAAAATGTTTTGATGAGATCAGCAAACTTCATGAAAATAATATGAACTTTTGGATTGTTCCCAAATTAAGATATTTGCAATACAAAAATAGATTTCCTACATTATATTTCTGGGTCTAGTTTCCAAATTCTTGTGCATATTTCATGAAGATCCACAGTTCATACTATTGTTTTGAAAAGGATTTCAAGAGTACAGACTTGTTCATTTACATTTATTCACATTTGTCATTTGTGTATGATGAAGCATATTATACTGTATGTCTCTGGTATGAACTGTATTCATGGCTGAATTAAAGATTAAGGCTACTTCTCCAGTTGTTCAAATACAGGTACTTCAGAATGGAGGAAGGCATGGTACATTCTAAATTGCAGCCTCAGGGGAAACCAATTAGTGTTTCTCTTGGCTATATAATTTGTCTTCAGAAAGCAGAATAGGACTTGCAGTTGGCATTGTTAAATTTAGTGAAACAAGTTTGACAGAAGTCAGGTTCCAATACTTATTTATTTGAAATAATTTTATCCATTTTTTAAAATGGCACTTTAAACATAAATAACAATTGAATAATTAAGCAATAAAGGAACTGTTGCCTTTCACCCAGCAATAGGACAAGAGTGATGTGATTTAATTTCTTCTTAAATAAAGCAATCTGCATGGTACAAAAGGTTGCTAACTTTGGGTCAGAATAACTGATAAGAACATTCTCAGGGACCACTACTACTAGCTCTGCCTCTGTGTTTTTCCTCTCCAGGTAAGGCTTGTAGATCCTTGCACAGGTAGGTAAAAGGAGAGGCAACAGCAAAGAGTGCAGACATTCAAACAGGCCGCTCCCATTGTAGACTATTATTTTTGAATGCTTGCAATATTTGAAAAGGTTTGTTATCTCCATAAGCTACCCACCTAATCTCAGAAGATATGACCTTACTTACAGCAATGGGTCAGCCAATAGTTTTTGATGAAAAAAGTGGTTACAGTTAATTTACTAGGGGAGGGAAATGCTTAAAATCATTTTTTTTTCATTTTGTATAAGTAAGTTTTGCTCAGAATTATTGCTCAATGGATGAACAAGAATAGTTTTGAAGAAATTACAATTGCTAGATTTAATGACTCTGGAAATGTGGGTGCTTGTCTGAATATCATGCATGATATTGTGATTTCCAAATTAGCCTTCCCAATCTAGGAGAGTCTAATATTGAAAATCCAAACTCCTGAATCACACTAAGCTGAAGAACACTTTTTTTAAAAAAAAATGTGATAGCTAAACTCTATACTTTTCTATATAATCAAAACTATCCCATCTTCATTGCTAAAGTCCTAAAAAACTAACAGAACTTTCATCTCACAATGCTGTTCATCCTTTTAGGGAGGAGGAGGAAGAGGAGGAGGAGGAGGAGGAGGAGGAGGAGGAGGAGGAGGAGGAGGAGGAGGAGGAGGAGGAGGAGGAGGAGGAGGAGGAGAAGAAATTTATATCTGTATTGTGGAAGATAGTCCCATACAATTGTTTTCCTCTCTAATCATCTTGTGGGCTGACAAAAGAAGTCCACTACATACAAGGGTTTCATCAGAATGAGTATCTCCACAAAACAAATGCTTACTTTGTCATTTGTCTTCATTTGCTCTAGTCAGTGAACATCTATGGCACTGGAGGATAGTTAATCTGAAGAACCTGGCTAGAAAGCAGAAACAGAACTCCTAAAGTTTCATTGTGTTTTCAGTTCTGCTCGGTTTATGGCTCCTAGCCAAATGGTCTTTAGTCAAAAATAGATGTACAGGAAGCACATGAACAAAAGAATGGTATAGGTAAAGGTGATATTGGACACTGAGTCTAAATCTGAAAGCATTGACTCTTAATCCAGAAAGCTCTATACCAGTGTTTTCAAACTTGCAACTTTAAAATCTGTCTGGAAGTTGAGTCATGGCAAGTTGAGTCATTGGACTTCTTTTCTTGTTGGTTTGAAACATTTCACTACTTGGATAAGCAGAAAAACATTTCTAACCAACAAGAAAAGAAGTCCAGTTGCCATGACTCAACTTCCAAACAACTCTACCTGGATGACTGAGAATCATCAACACAAATTTCTTTAAGAGGCGCACATTTCAACTTCCAGAGTTCTCCAGTCAGCCTGCTGGTTTGGGAATTCTAGGAGATGAAATATACACATCTTAGTTACCAAGTTTAAGAATAACTGGTCACTACTGAAGCAATCCATTGCTATATCAAGGCTAATCTGATTAACAGCTGCAGCTCTTCAGACATTTCAGCTGAAGATCAAATTGAATCCAAAAACACCTTCATAAAATGCTTGTATTCTACCACTAATATCTACTCTTTTCTTTAACTTTTTAAAACAATTTTTTTTCCTGCTTAAGCTACCAGAAAAGAACTATTATATGAATTGTTTAGTATTATCCGGACATAACTGCTTTAGCTGTTGTTATCTAAAAGTAAGTTTCTTTGCAGTTAAAAGAAATTAAATAGTAACAATACTTCATTTCTACGGCACATGTTCAAGATATAATTCTTCATAATTGGTTCATGCTACAGTTTTGACCAAATGAAGGTTGATGTAAAATTTTCCAAAAAACTTTGGCAAATATATTTGAAATGCGGCTTTGTGTGACAAAAGATAGTGTTTATCTTGCAAATTATGCTCATTTTAAAGCAGTTCCTGCAAAAATACGAAGTAGATAATGTTTCTTGTTATTTTCTATGCCAGAAATAATGAAATTTGCTGATGAGGTCTGCATGATGGCACATTGTAGGATATTTTTGTTGGGGGAAGGGTGTTTTCAAATGTGTTTCTGAGCACTGACACAAAGTCTTTTTTATAAAAATTTCTATAAATATTTTCCTTGAATCAGTTATTTTCATTGAACAGCCACAAAGGACAATTGCAGGGTGCTGCATTTTAACACAAGAGGAAGATCATCTTGTTTCAGTCCTTTGATTTTCCTCCAACATGACACATATAAAAAAACCAAAACTTTTACTGCATCCATCTTGACTATATTGACCATGTCTTGTAGATATTCCTGCTTTGCCTAGTCTTCTTTTATCCTGAATTGTATCCTTTTTATGTAAAGAATCATATGGCTAGAATTTGGTGTACTAGAGATAGAAAGATTCATCTGTTCTGGTGTTTATCAAAGTATGCAGACATAAACTTAATGCATAATTTTCCACATTAAATAAATCAGCAAGTCTATTGAAATATTCTGTTTTAAAGACCTTTTCAATAAGAATTGAGGGACTGTCCCATGTAGGCTCCTCTAATCATTCAGTTATGATTTTAATGAATGCTAGTTTATGTATTATGTAAAATAATTTGCCACTAGAAAAGCTAAATCTACAAGTTCTCAGGATAATGTGCTGCAAAACACACATGGTCAAGCCAACTAATAAATCTTAGCAAATAGCATCTGATTCCAAAGCAGTGAGCCAATTTCTTCGCCTTGTCTAGTCTACTTCATTATATTCAGTTGTTTATCAGTGTCTTTTCTGAGGTTTGTAATTTCCACTACAGAAAGCCAAAGCCTGATGAACCATATTTATATGATTTTTATTTTAATTGTACACCCTCCAGAAATAGATGGACATTCTCCAAATTAGAGAGAGAGAGAGAGAGAGAGAGACACAGACAGACAGACAGACAGACAGACAGACAGACAGACAGACATAATCCTCATTTCTTGCTTAAGACAGGCATTACATGGCAAAGAAAGGAAACTAGGGAAACTAGGCATGTAAAACAGGCCAACAGATCTTGTTCTGTTTATAATGTTCAAATGATTTTTTTCCCCCATGCTTCTTTGTTAAATTTAGTAGATTCACTCATTCAGCTTTCAAATAGCCACAACTCTTCCCAGTCCTTATTCCTCTGGTTTCAAATGGCAGATTAGGCACTGAGAAATGTCATGCTAGGTAATTTTACCAAAACCAGTGGTAAGCAATTCAATGTACACATAGAAAACAATTCAAGGACTCAGAAGCAAGTGAAAAGAAATACTAGCACTGTAGTTCTTTTGTAAGTTGAAGATTTAGTATTTGGGTGGTTAACCCAAATATTGTCCATTGAAATGGAATACAGGCAGAGGTTGACAAACTCAGAGAAGCTGTGATGTCCTCAGGGGGTATGACATGTCTGTAGTGCAAGAGTTATGTATATGTCTGGAAACACACAAAAAGAAACTACTTTACTTTCTCAGGTTTCAGGTAACACATCTTCTGAATATGGCTTCCAACTGGCTATATACTTACCTGTTTGGGGCTTACTTTTCTCCAGGACTGAGTTTCTGGTCCTGCTAATGACTTCTGAAGATGGTTAACTTGTGCACTGGGCACTGGCCATCTTTCTCAAAGCCTGCCTTTCTAACAGTTGAGATGGAAGCCCCAGCTAAATCCATCCTCCCAATTCTTTGTCTCTTAACTGATCCTAACTGCATCTTTGACTAAAGTTTTGTAGACTTTGTATCACTGTATTTATCAGTGTTCTGGGAACATGCTTACTTTTTGTTCAATACAAACTAATACAATAACATGAGCAAGGGTTCAGAGAAGTCCAGCAAACCAATGCTTTATTTACTCAGGAATTAAATTATACTGAGGTCAATGGGGTTCTGGGACCCTAGTGTTATTCTTCATTTCAGCCAAAGAACTATAGAAAGTCTAAGACGGCGGGCGTATATTTTCCAATCAATAAACTCAGCAGTGAAAAACACTGTAGTAATCTAGATGAGTAATAGCATTGCCTGTCATTTCAAATCTTTGCCTTTCGCCTCTAGGATTTATGACAGTGGGAAGGCAGACATTAACCAGTTTTGACTCTCTTCTGATGATGAATATCTGCCTGACTAGAGAAGCAACTGAGGAAAGAGTCCAGCTTCAACACCCCATGCTGAAAGGATTGGCTTCCACTTCAAATGTTCCACTATCACTACAACCTTAGCATTTCATCTCTTTTCTTTCCTAAGATTACTTGATTCCTTAGAAAATATATCCTTTTCTGTTTCTTTGAAGCCTTGCCCAAGAGGCCTTTGCCTTTTGGAGTCTGCAAACATAAGGAGAAGAAAAATAATCAGATTTTTCTTTACACAATAAGAAACAGGGGGGAGGGCTGGGTTCTGATGTTTCACGGTCTAAGTTGACTTTTTGCTGCATTCTCCCTGCTAGACTTGGTTTGTTTTACACACAGGTATAGTTTTAAAAGAAAAAAAAAACATTATTCTATGTATATAAAGATCCTGCATGAGACCTGATGTATTTTTCGGGAAGTACTACTCAGGAATTATAGAAAGAGTCAAATATTACATTGGCCGCTGCTCCCAGTGGAGTCCAGGTATCCAGTCTCTACTGCAGTCTGAGTCAAAATAGCCATTTGGATGCCCAACAGCCAGTGATAATAGGAAAAGGGCAGATCCCAAAACTTATTAAACACCGCCACTAAAGCATCTTAGATCATATAGATGACAAAAATTCTGTTTTGAGATAAGGAAAAAAAAAACCAGCTTAAACTGGAACAGCTAAAAATGATTGTAAACTGTCTCTGCTGTGCACTGGGAAAGAGACAAAACAATATCATGATGTCAAATCAGTAGAAGGGTATGTTGTGCATTGATTAGAAAGACATGATGGTGAACCCTATAAAACCATTGAAGCCCCACCCTCTGGCCCACACATTGTCAACCACTTCTCCTCTGTAGTCCTTTCCTTTGTACAGATTATTTGTGCAGATTATTTTGTACAAATTATGTGACTGAGAAAGACAAGGAGAGATTCTGTTTGTATATGTTAATTAAAGATGCTAATAGTACTGTTTATATTATTTATTTATGTACGTACAGTTACTTTGTTATCACTATTGTGCGTGATGAAAAGTGGAGTGCAGTTCAGAAAAGGAAAATTAAACTTTACCAAAACAACAATTGTTGGGTTCCAGCTTACACAGTGACAAAACACCATGGAAAAATAAAATCTTTTTTTTTTTTTTTAACAGAAGTTTGAACTGTAGAGTGGGGAATTCTAGAACTTTGATTTGCTGCTAGGATTTTGGGACCGTAGAAGGAAAACAGTTTTTTTAGTGCCACTTTATTGCTAAGAAAAACCTTAGCAGCAACACTAAAGATTGCTCGTGAACTCTTAATGGAATGGAATTAGGAACAATGGAACAATGGAATGCTGATGGAATTAGGTGTATCTCCAATTTACATAGAATGTCTGTGGTATTATTGAGTTGCATTGTTGACTTTTCCTTTATTAGTATTGCCTCATAGAATTACTTGGGCCTAGACCTCTGCTGTCAAGAGTCGGTTTCATTCCACCTTTGTTAAGGTAGGTAATATTTCTTTGTTCTTGGTATGGAAGGAATTAAGAGGCTTTGTCTTATGAAAGAAATCTTTATCTTTAGGTCTGGTTTAGGATTATGTTAATGGCAACTGGACCAAATCTCTGTCAGGTCTACAAGGACCATAACTGACCTTCATATTCAAAGGAAATAAAACAAACCATGCTGTCATCCATCTATGACCTCCAATGGTGAGATTCAGCTATGCATTCAACTGTCATAGGTAAGTAGAAAAAGGTAATGTTTACTTGGGAAGAGGTACTTTGCCTTCACTTATACCCATCAATTACTAAGATTACAAGTTAATATACACCTACAACAACAAAATAGATCTTGTTCAGAGGGCAACTTGTTTTCATATCATCTATCAATAGTACTACAAAAATTGTTTGATGTACATTGCTGCACACATCTTAGCTGACTGCTTAGAAAGCCTACTTACTCAGAAAGCCTATTTGCTTTGAACAACCCATTCCCATTGACCTTTAAAAAGTTTGAATGGGTTCAAAACTTACAAAATTTTTCTTTGTTATTGTTTTTGTTCCAATTTGAGATGAGAAGGTAAAATCAGATAAGCGCTGAAAAAGTCAGCCAACTATGTACTTTAATAAACCATTAGTTATTACTTCTTGTCAGAGTCATATCTTGTGCAAGAAAATCTAGTGGAATACTAGTAAAATGAAGATTAGAAAAGAGATATTCACAATTTATATCCTTTCTTTCTGCCTACAGGGTATATTGGAAATGCTCACCTGTGCACTTGTTTTGTAAAGGTGAACAATGATCTTGAGGTCAAATATGCTCACCATGGCTTACTGCTCTTCTTATGCCTCTCATCTCATCTTCTTAGTAACCCTTCTTATTTGAAAGTTTGTTAGATTAGAGGAGAGAGAGGAAGCTATTGTGCTTGTCTTTGGTATTTTTCCCCTTTCTCTAATTTCCCTGTCTCAGCCTCGCCCTTTTAAAGACCCCAGTTTGTTTCATAGTTCACTTGAAGAGCCCTGAAATGCCAAGAACTGCATGATATGCATAAATATTCTCCAGCCTAGTATCTTCCTTCTCACAATTATCCCTGAGTGCAGGACTCAAGGCAAACATTTTTGCAATTTGTCCTTGATAGAAATTCCTGTTTATTCAATGGTGGATATACAATAATTAAATAAAACTATAATGACTCAACAGTAGTAAGACAACAAACACACCATTCACATGCTTAAATACATGTCTTTAATATAACTCCACATTATATTTCAGGGGGAAAAATCACAAATTTATATACTTGTTATGTCATAACAGAAAAATAAGTACATTTTAATTTTGCATTAACTAAAGAAGTATCTTCTCTACTGATGAAAAAAGACCTGTGAGTCAGGAGTAGCATTGTCTGGTGCTTACTGTACTAAAACATAAGAAGACATCTTTGCAAAGAGTCTGTAAGAAATATTAGATCCCAGGCATGCTTAATCAATCAATAATAACAATAACCCAGCATACTACACAAGATCAGAGGGAAGAAAGCCAACAGGATGACCTCCCAAGCTATACTAGCAATTTGAGGTGTCCAAAACCCTTCTTACCCCACACACAAAAGAATGCCTGCCAGAAAAAAATAGTTTGCTGGGTGGACTGATATCTATTGTCTTTTGTATGCTTTGTTATATTATAAAAGGCAATAGCAACTCTCATCATTTTTATTTAATCGTTACCAAGGAAGCATCTGCCAAAACTGCTTAGATAAAAACAAGATAGGGAAAGGTTTGAAAAGGAATGACATAGGTCCTCTGACCCTGAAGGAATTTTTTCAGATCTGGTAAGAATATCAAGTTGTCTACTCATTCTTAGCCTGACAGTGGGGCTGGATATAGGGAGGGTTTTGTTTTTATTTCCATCCATGAGTTCATGTTACATAAGAAATGACTTGATAGAACTTGGCCAATGCAACATTCCCCCTAAATATTCTTCACTAGGTTATGCTGCAGTTGACAAATGTATTCATGGGGGAAGCCTCAGAGAGTGTCTGTGTGTGTGAGAGAAGAGGGGGAGAGGGAGAGAGAGAGAGAGAGAGAGACAGACAGACAGACAGAGATGGAAATATTGATGGGATTTATCCTATGGAACCATGATGGCAGCTGTATCTTCACTCTGGACCTTCCCCTTCAGAACATTTTGTAATATTTCAATATTTCTGGCTGTTGAAAAACAAAACACTGAAGCCTGAAAATAGCAACATTTTTTCTTCATTTAAAAACAACATAATGAATGCATTTCATGTTTTTAAAAAATTATTTGAAAGACTAAAAAAAATAAAGCATTCATTTCAGTAAAAATTTTAAGATATAGTTTTGGGAATCTAATCCTCTTCCAGATAGGTCAAATTCAATTCTTATGAGATATAATATTTTAATACATATGAAATGCCTATTCTGGAATTTTAAAAGTGCAGTGCCTAAATCAATATTTGCTATTCTCACCAACAAGTTAATTATTAGCCAATCTGGATTTGTTAACAAAGGTAAAAACGTTTCTGCATAAAAAAAGTTTATCGTACTCTAAAAGTTGATTGCCTAACATCCAACCTTCATATGACATTTAAAACTTAATTGCCATTGGTGTAACCAGAAGGTAGCAGCTTCCAACTTTTGGTCAGTTTTTTATTAGAATATATTTCTTTAATAGGTGTATATTACAGATTGAAAAGAGGTGTATGCCCACCTATATGATATAAAACAGCACTAACAAATGATAACATTCTCTCTCAACATCCCCTGCCCCTGCATTTTTTAAATTAAACTTTGTTTTTATCCAGAATAGATTATTTTGTGTTTAGTCATCCCCAAAAAATTGTTCTTGAGAAGGAAGTTACCAATGAATTAAATGACATATAGAATTTGACAAACACAAAGCATAAACAACCATGGCAAGTAACTAATCAACAGCAGATTAGTTATCAGCAAATTGCTAAATGATGCTAAATAAATTTAATTCTTTATTAGTGGGATTGCAATATTGTTTCATCCCCTAAGGATTTCTGAAAATCTGAAGATTAAAACCTTCATCTGTCACAAACTTAATTTAGGGGAAAAAAAGATTCTAGGTGTTTTATCTTCCCAAATAAATTTTCTTAAAAACTTAACAATTTGATAAAAAAAATATTTTGGGGGGGAAAATAGACAAAAGTATTAAAATTTACTCGAATCTATATAGTTATTTTCATTTTGATTACATTTATTTTACTCCACTAAATCAAAGATGTCTTATACCCTCTATGAAAATTTAATTTATTTAAAACTTTTATATAGCTGCCCATCTTCCAACTAACTCTGGGTGGCTCCGAATTATTTATTTATTTAAAACATTAAAAATCTTACATTAAAATCTATTGTAATTTGTTCTAGATATATTGATAGATATATTCATTTTGACAAATTTTGAAATATTTCTAGGAATATAAACCCTAAATATTTCATCAGTAGTGGGCACAAAAGCCACTGGGTACACCATTCCGGTAAAACCTCTGAACTTAAGGGAAGTAAGTTAACCAACTTAATCTTATATCCAGAATAGATGACTGAATTTTACTCATTAGGGCTTGTAGTGAGAAAGTACAATTACTAAACAAGTCAACATATGAGTGGTCTAAAGAAAAACCTTGTATTCAAAGGAGTCAATTTTTATCCCTCTTATATTAAAAGATGATCTAATTTGTATTGCTAACAGTTCTAAGACCAAATTTAAAATCAAAAGAGATAATGGGCATCCTTGCTGAGTATGAAGAAGAAAATCTATGTGGTTATTAGGAGTTGAAATCACACAATCAATTACTAAGTACCATGTTGCAGTTCAATTGGTTCAGAAATTATGTGGTTTGAAATAACTCTAGCAATAGGTGAAAAGTAATACATTGACATTCATCTAAGAAAGTATGTAGGGAATCCATATCTGAACTTGATCCATTTCAAAAAGATTAATATGAACTGTAGCGAAGGCCTTTTCAGAAGATAATGATATTAATGCTACAGAGTTTGAATTATTTTGTGTTATTGTTAACAAATCAACAAGTACATGCATAGTATTTGAAGCTTGCCCAAATTGTAAAAGGACAGATTGAGGTGGGCTTTGATTTTGATTAGTCTGACTGATTATGTGCCAGCAAGTCAGTTTCAACTCTCAGTGACCACACAGATAGATTTTCTTTTTAATGACAGCCGATCCATAAACTGGTCTTTCAGGTGTTCCAACAGCGCACTCACTACCATCGTAACTGAGTCCATCCACCTGCTGTTGGGTCATCCTCTCCTTCTCTTTCTCTCCACCTTTACTAGCATTACAGATTTTCTGGAGGGATAGATCTTTTCATAAAGTAAGATAATTTGATAATTTGAATTATTATTTTTTAATAATAATTGACAGATCTGATTGTAATATTTTAGCTAGAATAGCATTAAAGATTTAATGTCTACAAAAATTAATGAAAAAAATCTGTAACTGGCAGATTGAGTAGCATCTTTCCTCAGTTTTAAAATCAGTGGTATATAAGATTCATAAAATGAATGTGGTAGTTTCCCCCATTTTTAAATGCTACCTTATAAAGAACTAGTAAAATACTTTTTAATTAGAATATTTTTGAAAAAGATTAGGTGAGGACTTGTTAGCAGACAAAACGTTACCATAATTGGAAGGAAAACCTTAATTAAAAATAAATACATAAATAAAATAGGAAGAATGCACTAAATGAGCAATACCCCCCATATCTGTGTCCTTCCAATAAGGAATACTAGTATAATATAATAAACTAGTGGCAAAATGGACAGAAGTAGTGCACTGAAAGATACCAGGATGATAAGAGAGCCAGCCTCTCAGCAAGATGAAGATTAATCTAAGGTTCACTTGGTGTCTGGCAAGGAGAGAAAGAAAGAAAAAATGTTAATCCATAATGTATAGTCCATTTTCAGAATAGTTCTCTTTGTGTTCTGTACAGTATCTAATATAGCTTCAGGGTACATCTCATTAATTACTTCTAAAGTTATTGTTTGATTCCACTTTAGTGTAAGTATTCCAGTTGGGTGTTTACATCTGTAATAATCATTCTACAAACCTAAAAGCTTTTGTGTACCTGAATGTACTTTTGTTCTAAGATCACAATTTTATGTAATTTATGAAATACCAAACAGAATGTGTACATGTCCAGGGGAGAAGATATAAAAACCCATCTAAATGTGAAAACAGCATGCTGCTCCATTGATTTTTTTTATCAATTCCATATTAAAGAGTATTATGAAATAATAAATGAAAAAAGTGTATTGGTGTTAAAAATTTAAAGGTTTATTGCAAACAATACTTAGGATCACATTTTACTGATATATTTATTACACTTATTTTCCTTCCTAAAGGGCCTCTCTTTTTATATTTCAAGGACTCAATTCAACCTTCTGAACTGTCCAGGACTCCTTCCATTTCCTGCTAGTCATATATTTTGAATCATCACAAAGCCATTTTTAAAAAATCATGAACAAAAGCAAAATTAAAGCTGCATTAATACATAATGCTAAGTTGTGATGTTTTTCTCTACCATGGTTTGTTGAGTAGTAGCCTATTCTCTACATGATGCTAAACAATAATGTGGTTCGTATATCACACTAAACCAAAAACAAATAACATTTTATGTTAGAAGGATAACCATTAAAATGCCCAAAGGAATGAGGACAGTGGTAAGGATAATTAACCTAAAGAGAGGTTGGTTAGTTATTTGGTGGATTAAGTAGGTGCCTTCTGTAAGTGTCTTTTAGTATTGAATAAAATTGGGTGTTGACATCAGGTTAAACAAATGTGTCTTGTAGTGATAGCTCAAAATGCATGAATTGCAGAGAAGTTGGGGAAAGATACATTTACATTTAGTGATGATGGACTCAAATTGAGACTGATGGAACTTTGTTGGCTAAAAGCCAACAAAGCAAACATGAAAGGCAAAAGTACATAAGATGGGAACAGTTGAGGAAGATGGGCCCATATATTGGTGCAGAGTCCTGTCTTGTAAGCCAACTGCCCTTCTAGCAAATATACATTTATACCATGACTTAGATGAATCTGCAGCCCTGACATATATTTCTCAGATATGTTTGGGAATGTATCCCTATCAGAAATATGCCCTCCTACCTTCTCTGTGGTTGAGAAAGTGGTAGGAAACCAGGTACAAAAGATGCTAGAGGAAACAGAGTTTTTCCCCCGATCAGGATTAAAATTCAGTCATGTAACAGAAATAGAGCTGGCCACTCTGGTCAATGATATTCCCTCCTTTATATCCCCTTAGAACTCTTGGCAGCATTTATTATCATCATCACCTTCATCCTGCTAGAATACGTTTACCTTGAGGTTTGCTTAGCCCTAATTCTCCTTGTATTCTGTAACACTGTGTTTCTCAATTTGCCTTGGCTGGCTGAAGAATTCTGGGAGTTGAACTCTACACATCTTCAAGTTGTCATGGTTGAGAAATACTGCTGAAAAGCCACAAAGACCATTCTGGTTTTTGCTATTGATTTGGGATTACTGTGGGGTAACTGTCCTTAATTTTTTTGGGCATTGTGCTTTAATTGTCTGTTTTTAAATTGTTGGTTTTATGCATTTGTGGTCCATATTCCAGACAGCTGGAGAGGATTATAAAGAGTGTTAAATTAAATAAGTATTACTATATAATATCAAATCTATCCTGAAACTCACTTTTAATGTCTGAAAAACTTCCATGTTCATGCTATCTCCTAGTAGTATACTTTCCAAATTAGTATATTTTTTCTTAGGCAGTTTAAATGCACACATTTTCCTTGCTGTCATAGAAAGTTCATTTCTTATACTTTATCATATTTCACAAGAAATGCAGTGGAGCAAGGGAGCCAAAGAAATATAATCTTGTAGAATGCAAAATAAGCTGTGTACACCATAAGACTCCAACAAAACAAATCACTGAATCTTTAGCCTTCCCAAAGCTTCTTGTTTCAACTCTTGACAGCCTCCCCCCAAATATTAGAAGCCTTTGCTTTTATTAATTCAGCCTAAATATTTCTAGACTCAGTGCAAGAGACATTTGTGCTTCAAAATTGTGATCTTAAGCAACAATCATTGTTGATAATGGCTATATTAATGAAAATGAAACTAAGAGAAAACTAAACATTCAGTAATAGTATAATGAGCAAAATTCATCCTATGCATTCGATGCAAAGGAAAATAGTGAAATAAACTCTCCCTTATACTGAATTCTGCTTACAGATTTCTAGACCGATGTACAATTTATCCTCAACTTCCACAGGAAATGTTTCCACAGGATATGCTCATTTTGCACAGAATGGTACATTGACGTCTTAAAATGCTTTTTTAAAACATCAGAGTAATTATCCTACGCCAACTACTATCCACTGGAACTATAATGTCTTTTTCAATCCATCTGAATGTTTCCATAGATAAAAAATCTTCAAAATAAATTGATGGATTTTTATATGTATTTGTTAACCACTGTGATGTGGTAAAGCTACATTTCTTAATAAATAAATTGATTCCAGCACCTTTTTACTGGGATTTGAAAGAAGGTTATATTTTAATTTAGTTTTATCATTATATCTTTTACTATTATGTCCCATAAAACACATCACAGCTTTGTGATTGCACTAGTTGAATAGAACACTGAAACAGGTCATGGCATATATCTCATCAATTATTCAGTATAGGCATGGACAGAAGTGAATTTTCCTCAGACTCAATAATAAACGAATATTAAGTTGCTCAAAGTCAAGCCTGAGTTCTAAGAGAATTGGTGTTGAAGTCATGCTACTAGCATTGACTTGTTATAGGAAATGTTTTTCTGTGTGCAAAAAAGTGAAGAAGAAAATTCAAGGGGAAAAACACTAATTATAGACTAAAAAGAAACAAAATTGGCGATTTTGTTTTAATAGATTTTAAAAGTTTCATCTGACTATCTTACTGGGTTTGTATGCAACCATGTGACTCTGAAAAAAATGTATCAGTAAAAAAGGATTCCATGAGATAACTAGTGGTAAAATGGAAAAACAGTTAACAGAATAACAGCGTTAGAAGGAACCTTGGAGGTCTTCTAATCCAACCCACTGCTCAAGCAGGAGACCTTATACCATTCCAGACAAATGGCTGTCCAGTCTCTTCTTAAAAGCCTCCAGTGACTGAGCACCCACTTCTGAAGGAAACAGTTCCACTGGTTAATTGTTCTCACTGTTAGGAATTTTTTCCTTAGTTCTCTTAGGTTGGTTCTCTCCTTGATTAGTTTTCATCCATTTTTTTTCTTGTCTTGCCTTCTAGTACTTTAGAGAATAGGTTGACTCCCTCTTCTTTGTGGCAACTCCTGAGATATTGGAACACTGCTATCATATAACCCCTAGTTCTTCTTTTCACTAGACTAAACAAACCCAATTCTTGCAACCATTTTTTATATATTTTAGCCTCCAACCACCTAATCAATTGGAAGAATTCATTAATCTATGGGAAACAAACTAAAGCATGGACAAAACTGTCAGTTCAACATTTTTTCCCAACTATCAAGTTCTTTCCCAGCTATGAAGAAATGTGCATATTTTAAATGGCCTATTTTTTTTAATGAACTAAAAGAAATTCCAACCATCCCAACAAATTTATTTGTGAATTTATTTATTTGAATAGCTATATATATCTGATGTATCATTCAGTGACTTGAAAGAAGAGGTTGGATATAGATCATCATGGAGAAAGTCTGTGTGGTTGCTAGGGATTAGAAAAACGTATGGCACATAATCAATCAAACAATCTATAAAATACTGTATTCCATTTGTCTTTGCATGGCTACATTGTTCCAGCCTGTCAGAGATGAGTTAAAACTGAACTGCCAGTTAATAAAAAAAACAAGCAAACCTAAGATTTGGGTTCTTTAAAAAAAAAAAAAAAGTTCTTGGCTACAGAGTGATTCACAAATCAGTCCATTCTGCTATTGGATTTTTCTTTATAATTTGACATCTCCTCTGTTTTTGAAGATATTTCTGAATGTTGAGAAGGAAGGGAGACATGATAAGCCCAAGCTCTTCAAGTCTGAATGCATTCAACTTGGAAAAGCAGACCATACAGTTATTAACATAAGGAATAGAAAAAAAACAAATGTTTAATGCAGTCATTGTTGAGGCCTGTAGTAGCAAGAAGAATCTACATGGGCCCAAGGACTTGTGTATAACAGATCATAACTGGATAGGTCAGAAAGTTTCCAGAAGAATAAATCTAAATCACACTTTATAATCTAACAAATGTATTATGTCCAAAGATTTAATGACCTATAATCCACTTCTATCAGAAATTTGTTAAATCTGATGAAGTGTTCTACCATTGTGCATTTTTTTTGTTTACTTTTCACCAGCATCTTGAACTAATATCTTGGTAACACAAGCAATACTGAATACAGAATAACACAGTTGAAAGGGACCTTGGAGGTCTTCTAGTCCAACCTCCTGCTCAGGCAGGAAACCCCATACTATTCAGATAGATGGTTGTCCAATCTCCTCTTAAGTACTTCCTATATTGGAGCATTCACAACTTCTGGAGGCAAGGTATTCTACTGATTAATTGTTCTAACTGTCAGAACATTTCTCCTTAGTTCTAGGTTGCTTCTCTCCATCTGTTGCTTCTTGTCCTGTCTTCAAGTGCTTTGGAAAAATAACTTGACTCCCTCTTCTTTGTGGCAACCCCTGAGATTTTGGAACACTGCTATCATGTCATCCCTAGTCCTTCTTTTCATTAAACTCAACATACCCAATACCAGCAACCATTCTTTATATGTTTTAGCCTCCAGTCCCCTAATCATCCCTCTTGGTCTTCTCTGCACTCTTTCTAGAGACTCAACATCTTTTTTACATTGTGGCAACCAAAGCTGGATGCAGTATTCCAAGTATGGTCTTACAAAGGCATTATAAAGTGGTATTAACACTTCACATGATCTTGATTCTATCCTTCTGTTAATGCAGCCTAGGCCTGCATTGGCCTTTTTGGCAGCTGCAGCTACTATAAGAGATAAAATGTGAACTATAAAGGGCATGTCAGAGATGCGATCAAATGGAAATTACATCACATTAACAAAAGGTTTTCATTTAAAAAAATAATAGCAAAGTAAATCCTAACAAAGTCAGGTATAGTATCCCTCAAACATAGATTGCTAAATCAGTTTTGCTTCTGAGCAAGTACTTAAAGAAATGTTCCAATTTTGGTTTGCTTCTGGAACAGGTAGTATATTTTATTATAATCTAAGTTCCACCTTTTGCTACCACCGTTATCACATTTAAATAAAGATTAGCATTTCAATGTCCTTGAGATCCAATATATAAACTAAAAGGAGGCAGACTTTTGTACAGTGAGTTCCTTCCAATTTGTTTAGCAACAGGTGACTCACAGGACACAGTTAAAAAGTAAAGATTGTAGCTGTGTCCAAATGATCAAAGCCCCATCAATTTTACATGTGGTTCCAGCTGCCAGGCTGCTTTTTTAAACACCCGCTTCATGAACATCCTGCAACAA